CCTGGAAGGAGAGTCAAGTCACCTCTTCCCTTTCCCTGCCCCCCTCCACCCCCCCAGCACACAACAAAAGGGTGAAAGGGTATTTCGCACCCTGAGGACAGGCACTAAGGCTAAGAGAGGCCCAGCGAGACCCTCCTACACTGACTCCAACGTACATCAGGGAAGAGGTTTTAAAAAAAAAAAAACCAACAAAAAACTAAACACTTCAAGTACATATTTTCCTTTTTTTGTTTTAGTGATTTAAGGTCTCTTCCCCTGCTGCTGCTGCACTGGGTGGTGTTTAGCGACCTACATCCACTCTAGGGACAAGAACAGCGCAAGCAAGGGCTGGTCTAATGCGAGGGGTGAGGAGAACAGAGTGGGGGGCAGTTGGGGTGGAGGGGGGAAGGTGTTCGCCGGCCGGCATCAGTTGGTGTCAGTCGTTCAGGGAACGGGCACCACACGCATGGTGTTGGTGTAGCCAGAGCCAGGGCGCCAGCCCGTCAGGACGATGACCAGGTCACCACTTTTGAAGAACCCACGAGCTTTGCCTGGGAGAGGAGACAGGGAGGTGTCAGAGCTGGGGGCCCACATCTTGTCACCCACACCCCGCTGAGGTTGGTATTGGGACATCCCACCCATGCCTTGGGGTTCCTCCATTGCTGGTGTATCCTCTCCGCAAAAAGAACCACGGGAGGTGCCAAAGACTCACCCCAGCCCACCAGAGCAGCGTCACTCACCAACGTTCATGCCAAGGTTGACGCGGAGGTCTACGTCCTCTGCCCAGGCATCATGGGCTGGTTCTTTGCACAGGACAGGGAAGATGCCCCTGTAGAGGTGGGCCTGACGAGCCGTTTGGTCATTACGGGTCACAGCGATGATGGGAGCCCGTGGGCGGTACCGGGACACCAGGTGCGCTGACCTAAAGGAGGAAAACAGGACACAGATGTGCAGTGCTGAGGTCTGGGCACGCAAACTGGACAGGGAACACCAGAGGCAGTGAGGTACCGCCCATCACTCTGGGAGAGCTCCACAAAACCCTCGGAGAGACAGGGAGGATGTCTCCAGATCGCACAGGAGATGCTCCCCAGTGAGCCTGACACTTGGCTGAATTCCTAGTTCAGCAAACAGGTGTGACCCATCAAAGGCTGTCCCCTTGGCAACAGTCCCTGCTCCCATCTTGCCTCAGCAGTTTGGAAGCACCACCTCCCAAAAAAACAAGCTTCGATTTGTCTCCGTTGCTACGTTAAGATGGCAAGGCGCCATCTATTCCAGCCTCTGTGAGTGCTCCTCAGCATCTCAACCCCAGGACTTTCTCTCTGTTTCGAGGAGCTCGCACTTGACAGGATGGAAAAGAGCCCGGGCCAGCAGCGCTACCCCAAGGCTTGCCAAGCTTTGGAAGCCGTTTGCCTCCCTGGCCACATTCACCTGCCTAAGGCAGCGAAGAGGCTGGCTCCTGCGCACAAGCGTGCCGCTATCTCCACTGGCTTTTGCAGCCTCGTTTAGTGGAACGAGGCTAACCGATATTCAAAAAGCAAGCAGCAGCGCTCTGCTTGAAGCACCCAAACACATGTGCCAGCTCTCAGACAATCCCTCCTGCACTGTTCAAGAAGCCTCCCAGTAGTTTTAGGGAAACTCAGGTACTCACAAGGCTGTAACAGAATCCACAGCTAAAAATATTCAAATACCAGAGGTCAAAGCTCTTTTTTAAAGGTCAAGTGTAAGACTGGGACCTTTTACAAAGAAACATTAGAAGCACAAGGGTATCTGGAAACTCAGTGCTTATAGGCACTCCTCATCTCAGCTGAAGTGGCTGCTTCCAATCATTTTAAGCTGTAAATTCAGGTGAAGGATACACCGATGGTCCAGCTCTTCAGGTAGACCGTGCCTGGAGCATCTAATCACTTTGTGATCTGAATCCGGTGTGAAAAACTCAAAACTTTTTCTTCCAGAAAGCAGCCTGAGACTTAGGGTCAGACAGGCTTCGAGCCTCATCCCTGCTCAGCAAGGCTTCGGCTCCCTTTCCACAAGTCGAAGAGTGAGTCTCTCCTCAGCAGTTGCCACAGTCGTTGGAATGAATTCCTCAACTTCATCGTTCCAGGGTGCTCGTGTTGCTGCCTCTCGCCTGTGGCCAAGGGGCTAAGCTCACCTGAGAGCGTGAGCAGCATATGCAGGTGCCTGCCAGATGCTCATTCAGGAAGATTAAAGGCAAAGAGGAACACTTTAAGAGGAAATTCCCAATGCTTTCAGCTTCCCTGCCTAACAAACTCCAGGCCAAGCGGTCCCTCTTCACCCCTTTGGCTTCGGCAAGCAGGGCCAATGCCTGAAAGTTTCGGCAAGCAACCAGTAATTTGGAAATGGCCAAGGCTTCGATAAAAAAAAAATAAAAAAATATTCTGCATCTTCTTACTAAATTGAGGATTTCTTGCCAAGCAGTCAGAAGCAAAGCCACGCCGATTTTCCCTTGACTCTTCCAGCCAGATGCTGCACTGGCAGAGGCGGGCTGAGGGAATCGGAGGTTACAGATGCGCTGACGTTCGAGATGTCCACCCATCTTCCCAAGGAATGGGTACTGCAGGCAGGCAGCCTGGGCTCTCAAAGCCATCTTTATTTTTTTTGTGGCGATTCTCCTTTCCCCCAACACCCTGAGGGAACCTGTCACCTCCTACCTTCCAGACTTGGTGAGGACAATAATGGCCCCGCTGCAGCACTTGAAGGATGCTTCCACCGCACCAACAGCGGCGGCCTCCGTGGGGTCACAGTTGAGGGAAGTCAGACGACGCAGTTCCTCAAACAACTGCCTGTGAAAGATGGCGGCTTCGGCCTCCCGGGCAATCTATAAGAGCAACACGCATTCGGGAAGACAACACTCTCGTCAGTCACTCAGGGCAGCACAGGGTTAAGGCGAGGTGCTCTATCAGCAAGGTGTGAAATCTTTTGATTTTTTAATTAAGAGTTGCCAATTAGCATAACCAAATCACTGCCCCGGCAGAGGATGCTCAAGGTTTCTTTTTCCAAATCAGTGGCACCTCCCTAGTCACCTCGCCCTGCCCAGCCCACACTCAGGTGACACTCATGCCAACTGCCAGGCGCTCTTGCTCTGCTCCTGCCTGCCTGCAATCCCTTCCTATCACTGAGAACTCAGACTGACGCGGCAGCTCCCTAAAAATATTTGCAGTGTTAGAAGGGAGTGTGTTTTGACTCATGGAAAAGAAGCGCCCTCTCTGAGCCCTACCTGCCAGACTCGGTCAGAACTATCAGGGCTGGAGCTAAGCACTTAAAAGAGGCCTCCACTGCGCCTACTGCCATGGCATCGGCAGGGTCCCTGTTGTTAACATTGAGGCGGAAAATTTCTTCGAAGAGCTGACGATGAAACATTGCGGCCTCGGCCTCCCGAGCGATCTGCAGGCCCGAGTCAGAGGAGACGAGGGAGAAAAGGGGAAAGAACAGAAGGAAAGATACACCAGAGGAACATGAGATCACATTAATTTGCTTAATTGTCATATTAACGCATGCAAGAGGATATTAAAGGTCAGGCTGTGAAACTCCTGGGCTCTCAGGTTGTCAATTTATTGAAAAAAACTCGGCCTAATGTACCGCACCACAGCGTTTTAACTGCCGGGCCCTGGTCACTGGGCATTCTTGTTTTATTCCTGGCATCCTTTCAGAGCAGCCCTACATAGACTGCTTTTCAATGCAGCTAAGCCAGGCCATGCCTCATTCCTGCCGATGATTTCTTTGTTTTCCACCACTAAAACAGCCTTCGTGGAGCCAAGATGCGAGCGACACACCTTCAATGTCAGCCCAGAAGTTGGGAGACCGTCCCTCCTGGCTTCATTAAATTTAGTTGAACTCGATGGCCAGTAAGGATTTAGTTTTAAACTTGAGAGCCAACAAAATTTCACCTCCAAGTGCTATGTCAACATCCCTTTGGGTAACAGAAAAAAAAAAAAATAGGAGCAAGTCCTTCCTTAAAGGGTTGTCATGACATCGAGGTGTTTTTGTACAGTGCCACACAGGAGGTGCGGAGGCACAAGTAACAGTTTTCTGTTCTATCACCTTTTCATCCCAGCACACTGGGAACCCCATTTAAAGACAATTTTCCTCTTGGAAAGCTGCCCCTGACAACCCAACAAGGAAGGCTTGCAGAGACTAGAAAAGCATGCAAAGGCTGATGATCACCTTTCCAAGGACAACTTCATTCAGGTACTCCAGAGAGCGAGCAGTCACTACATGCAGAGCGTGACGTGTTTAAGCAGAGACTGAAGTGCTCTTACAGCAGAAGCTTTTTTCCCCGTCAGTAAGAATTTTGTTACTCTAACGTTAATGAATTATTTTATGCAATGCAAGGAATTATCTCTCTTCCACAGATATCAGTTTAAGCCAAAGTAGTTAAGTATCTTATGTCTAAAAATAACGAGACATGTGACGAGCAGGAACAGCACTCCAGTTCCAACTCTTGCCCTAAAGCTGTCGTTACTGCTGGCTTTACGCTTGCCCTTACATGGAGTATCTGCCTCAAAATGCTAGCAGCCAGTCAGTTTATCCATGGCTGCAAAAGCAGGCAGCTCCACGTAACACAGTGAAGTGAACCCGAGTTTAGAGGGCAGTCTGCATCCCCCCGGTTGTAAGAAAATACACGTACTCATGCGACAGCAGGAGGGCAACACAATTCTGTCACGCCCCTGCTCAAGGGTTTCCAGTTGGTACAGGGGTGGAGATGGGAGAAAGGAAAAGAGAGCAGCTATTTAAACCTTGGTCCCCTCAGACAGCATGGCCAGTGCAGCGTTTGAAGCCAACCATGGGTCAAAGACTGGAACTGGAAGAAAGGTCTTTGAGAGGTGCGAGGATACTGCACAGCACAGACCCTGATCATTCTCAGCACTGAGGGGCTTCATTTGGAATGCTCTTGTAGCAGCACTGGATCAACAAATAGATAAACCCAAACTGATCCCCATTTCAGGCAGGGAAATTTTGTACAGGAGCTGTTCCTTACCAGCGCCAAGGGGATTTCTTCCCCTGCTACAACCATTTGAGTGGAAAATATTTGCCTGTGCTGGCCATGCTGCAGATTTTCAGACCATGGTTGCTGAGGGCTCTCTGGCTGGGCAAGGGCTTTTCTCAACTAACACCAAAGGAAGAAGCTCAGAGGAGAGGCCCAGACCACAGGGAGATCGCTACAGTTGGCACCTCGCTGCTTGCACCACGTTACATTCAATAAAAGCGATTCTGCATTTGCTCCTCTGTACAGAGGGTTAAAACTTTCAGCACCTCCGCTATTCCCAGGGAGAGGGATGCACATACAACAGATCCTGAGCTCAAGCTGCAGGTACAATACAACTCGCCTGAGCTGTAAAGTTAAGGCTGGAATAGAAACCTAGGTGTAAGGTTTAATGTAGCAAGCTTCCAACTTGTGGTAGAAAGTCAATTCTTATGATTTAGGGGGTCAAAAGAGAGGGAGAGCTTTTTAGCCGCACTGTTAACATACAGCCCGTAACTAGTGCAGTCACTGCTCAGTACTTGTCAAGTAGTATTTCGCATTTGCCACGTGCATAAAAAAACCACCACTCCATACTGAAAGACTCCACATATGAAAGACATAACGCACTGCAAACAAACATTGAGTTGATTAATCTACATGACTTGAATTGCAAATAAAAACTGGCGAAAATTGTAACTGGTGAGTTACCGCCGCTGTGGTTCACAGCACTGGTAACTAGGGAGAAGCGACACTTGTAGACACTCGCCATCAGGCTTTTTAGTTGGCTGAAATGCGAGCTGGGGAGAAACTCGAAGCAGAGCAGAGGTTTCTGGCAGTTCAGGCATGTAAAAATGTGGTGCTGTCAGTACTCGTGCAACAAACACTCCCCCAACGCCAGGTGCTGAATGCAACAGCGCTGTAAATCAGGCTCCCAAGCCTCCTCCCACCCTTCCCTCCCTCCCACAGAGGAGTCAGCGGATACCTTTCGTTATCTAGAGATAAACTGCTTATGCAGCTCCCTTGACCTTGGGGAAGTTTAAGGCATTTAATAGGCCAAAACTAATCGGGCATTTGGAGAAGCTCCTACCGGAATAGGAGTGAAAACCCCTTTGCCCTGGCCAAAACAAAAATTAACTACGAGAAATCCAAAGTTTTAAGATTTCAGAGCACTGCAGAGCAGTTCTCAGCTCGGCCCAACAACACTTTGGGGCACGTGCAGCAAGGTTTCAGGCTCTCGGGACTGCGCTGAGTCAAGAAAAGCCCACAGCAGGAGGCAGATTCAGATCTTCAGGTGCCTGGCTCAGACAGAGGATGCAAAGTGGAGCACCACTGATTTTTTTCACCTCCGGGGCTGGCTCCGCACCCAAGGGCAAAGGCAGTACTCACAGCGTGCTGCATGCGCACAGCCTCCAGCGGGTAGTCGCCCTTGGCAGTCTCTCCGGAGAGCATGATGCAGTCTGCCCCATCCAGGACGGCATTAGCGACATCGCTGCCCTCGGCACGGGTCGGGCGAGGTTTCTTGATCATGCTTTCCAGCATCTGGAAGGGAACGAAGCCAAAGAAATGGGGACACTGCAGCAGGAAGCAGCTGCTTTTTCGCTAGGGCACTTCCACAGACTTTAAATACAAGGCAGAAGGTAGGATGTAGCAACAGAGGAAGAAGGAGCACAAGCGTTCCTGTAACTCTCCTGGGCAAGGTCCTAAAAACATCCTTAAAGAAGTGCCTCAAACCGAGGAGCAAAAACTCTCTACCACCTCTCTAATGAACACCATCATGCTCAAACCCTGCCAGACATCAGCAGTTACGTCGCATTTCCAGTACCTGAGTGGCACAGATGATGGGTTTGCCAGCCCTGTTGCAGCGCCCAATCATCATCTTCTGTGCGAGGAAGACTTTTTCAGCGGGAATCTCAATTCCCAGGTCACCACGGGCCACCATAATGCCATCGCTGGCCTCCATGATCTCATCAAACCTGGCAGTGAGAGAAGAGGTTCATTACTCCATTTGTTCCATGACTTGGACTAGGAAATCTAGTCTTCTGTCGATATGGGGCAACAGATATGGGGCAACAGACTCGCACAAAACTCACCTGCGCACCCCCTCGTGATTCTCAATCTTGCTGATGATCTTGATGTTCTTTCCCTTTTCCCCCAGCACCTTCCTGACAGCATGGACATCAGCAGCTTTGCGGATGAAGGAAGCAAACACCATATCTACGTTCTGCTCCACGCCAAATTTGAGGTCCTGAATGTCCTTTTCGGAGACCGCAGGCAGGTCGACAGCAGCACCGGGCAGGTTCACTCCCTTTTTGCTGCCGAGCATGCCGCCATTCTCGATCTCCGTCATGACATAGTCCTTGCCTGAAAAGACGTGTTCCCACGGTCAGCGTTTACCAGCACGCTCCCCACTGCCAGTTCCCACGCTGCCTCCCAGCCCAATAACAGCAGTGCCAACAGCGATCGCACAAGATAAAAATCACACCGCCGCTCTCCTTGGAGGCTTTATGTAACGCACGAGTTTGCAGACTGCTTCCACGCTGTTGTTGAAGACGCCATATGGGAGTGTTGGGATTGTCTTCCCCAAAGAGCTACCAGGTTGCACCGGGGCACACAGGAGCCCCGTAACACCAAACCCATCACCCCAAAAGTCTCATCTCCATCTCCCTCTGTGTTCAGGAATTAGAGGCAGTATCTTGAGGCCAGAGCAGTTTATGCAGCCCTACAGAAGAAGCATTCGTGGAACTAGCCTTGCCCCTACACAACCAGTTACAGCTTGTTCTGTCTCTAACCACAGAAGTCTGAGTCTGTGTTGTAAAACTAGTTAAATCCTGCATTAAAAGCATTAATTAGCCTGAACAGGCTAAAAACAAAAACCAACCCACAAAACAAAAAACAGGCACAGCTGGAATGGTTGCTACTCACCTTTCTCCTTAACCAGCAAAGAAATCAGACCGTCATCTACATAGATTTTGCTGCCAACGTCTACGACCTTGGTGAGATTCTTGTAGTCCAACCACAGCACATTCTCATCGCAGTTCTCCATGAATGCATCATCCAGGGTGACTTTGAGAGTCGCGCCCTTCTTCAGCTCCACTTCTGCTGTGCCACTCTACATGTCAACAAAACAGCGTTACAGCAAAACCAGTCAAATCCAACACACACCCACTACCCAGCTTGCAGCAGTTCATCCCAAATTTTGGCATTGTTACCCTGAGACATTTTTCATTTGGAAAAGGCCACAGGTGTAGCACAAAGCCTAATCTCACATGCTAAAAAAAAAAAAGCAGAAGGAAAAAAAGTAAAAGGAAACTTACTCCCTTAATGAGTCCAGTTCTGATTTCAGGTCCCTTGGTATCCAGTGCAATAGCCACAGGTCTGTAGGTGATGGGATCAGAGGCAAAGCTCTCTGTAGCTTCTCGCACGTTCTTGATTGTACCCTCATGATACTGGTGAGAGGAAAAAAGAAAAAAAAGACACTGAAACATTCAGCCCATTTCTACTCCACCGTTTACAAAAGCCCACTGTGCATCCCAAACGCTGCCCAGGCTGACAATGCCACTCCCACGTTACGCTCAATTTCAGATGTAGCTAAATGATTTAATTCAGACCGAGCTTCAAAAGCATTCCCCAGATGGAGGCAGAGTCCAGTAGTTACCCCGCTGCACCTTCAGTGCCCACGGTTCTGAATGCAGAGGGATAACTCCAGGAGAGAGCCCAAGTGCTCAGCTGAAGTGATTTTCCATCGGGACACACACTTGCTGTTTGAGGACAGCCCACCAACCAAAAGGTCTTTTGGAAGAGCATTTCCACAAGCTTAGCTGAGCATTTGCCTGCTGGACACAGCAGAACATTAGCAGACCTGGATGATTATTAACGCTTACGGAAAGACTCCTGAACGCCAGGAGAATGTCACAGCTAAGCAACTGCTACACGTGGCTGTTCTCCTCCCTTCGGAGCACGGAGTCTGCACCACTGACTCCATCCCAGACTTCCTGCCTGACCCCGTTTATTAGTCCCACAGGTGAGATTTTTTTTGTAACTCTTCAGCATATATTTCCCCTAAAGAGAAAGGATTTGCTAAGAGGACATTGTCCATTTAAGTATTTATATCTTATTTCAAAAGCCAAAGCCATGGCAGCCAGAAGTTCAAGACTCCATGCACTTGGCTTTCAAACTTTCACGCACGTGAGAGCATTGCACTCGCACTGCCAGCTTGGGGAGACGGTTTTGCGGAGAAATTTCCATCTCGACTATCTTGAATGAGCTTCAGATGATCACTAGATCAGTTTCCTTTATTTGCTCAAACAACATTAAGAGATAACCCAGTTGTGCAATACTTGGCAGACTTTTGTAGATAATTTCCTCTCTCTGTGCTGTAGACAGACAGTGTTTGACTCTACCCACCTGGAAACACCCAGCTGCCCTCACGTCACCTGTGTGCCTTGACACGAGCCCCGCACACCCAACTTCACTATCACAGGGACGATAATCCACTGCCAGGAAGGCGGGGCCGGATAAAGCCATGCTAAAGTTCACGTGCGTGCCCCTGGCCAGAGATAGACTGCAACTACTAACTAATCTTTGGAGCAGGAAAAATAATATTTATTCACTGAACACGCATGTTGAGACTGAGAAGGTCTCAACCGTTTCGTACACCACAGCCTAGATGGATGCAGTAAAACAACCCTACCTGAACAGTGCTATTCCATTTATCTGGTCTTAATCACCTAGTATTTTTCCTTTTTAGTTTTTTATAGCAAGGACTAACCAGCTTCCTGGAGTCTGACTTCCTCAAGAGTTATGTAAGCAGAACAAGAATGCAGGCAAGAACTGGATGTAAAAGCAACTGTTTCTATACAAAAGGGCCTCAGCCAGGTGCTGAAGCGCTTCTGTTACAGTTGAGGCACCAGTAAATACTTCAGGGTAGGCACAAGAACCAAAGCGCTTGAGACAGGCGAAAACTCTTTGGAGCTTCACTGGAAACTGGAGTGGTTTGGAGGAGCCCAAAGAGGACTCCGAGTTCAGCCTGGCAACGGCTGACAGTCCAATGTGACAGGAGATGACACTGAGTCCAGACTCTACCGTAATCTAACCTCATCTCCAGAGAACGTGCAATTAGACCTCACCCAAAGTCAAAAGCCACAGTCCCTGTCCTCAACCTCAGCTAACAAGTACACAAACCACAGCAGCAGCTCTGCTGGGCAGTAACAGCGTGAGAATTCCCACTTTCAGCCTGGCCGTCAACTCCCTTACAAACCACCCAGCCCAAGAGCCACCCAGCTGCAGGATTTGACAACCACGGGGCAGAATTATTCTATGCTACCCTTTCGTTCAGGGAGGTTTTGCTAACTGTGGCCTAGGCGCTGACGCTACCCTGGTGTGTTTAGTCAAGGTCTGATGGTTGCTCACAGTTAAGAATCACGACCTTTCGGTTTTGACAGTGCCCTGTGGCCTTTAAAGGCCACAAGGGTGAGAGGCCAAGCTGTTACACAGGGCGAGACTCACGGTTCAGTAAGTAAAGCCACCCATAGCTGCTCCTGGCTACCGGCTGACATTTTGAAAGCTGGAGGGCAGCCAGCAGGGGGAAAAAAAAAAAAAAAA